ACATGGTGGGATGCATGCTTCTTGCATTGTCCTTAGCCTGGGATCGCAGGTAAGATGACCTGGACCCTGTCTGCAAGGAGACTATAGGCTTACATGGCAGACAAACCCAGAGACAAATGTAATGCGTGTGGTCAGGGTAAAAACATGAGGAAGAAGCACTTTTTCTGTCCCTCCCTCCCTCTCTCTGCTTCAGTTTCTATGAACCCCATGAAAGACTCTGATTGGCTCAGATGGGGCCATGTGCATGTTCCTTGGACCACTCACTGAGGTCAGAGGTGAGTGTTACCATTGGCTAGGCCTGAGTCAGATGGCTGCCCAGGGACACTCTGACATCTTGGAGTCAGAACAGGGAGAGTAGGTCTGCAGGAAACTTCCCAGTGGAGGGAGTTTTGTGAATGTTGCTAAATAAGAGGGGACACAGGTGCTGGGTGGATGAAAACAATTGATGTCCTGCCTGTTTTCTGACCTAGACCAGCATCGAACAGAGAATATTAAATGGCTAACCGCATATCTGGTTAGGACTAGATACATCCTGTCGATGTGAGTGTTTCCAAAGTTCGGAGCAGCAGGGCTCCCTGAGAGCCGCTTGGGATATGTGTATATCTTCCTTCTTTGTGACCCAGATTCAGTGAAGGGAAGCAAGTCTGAGCTGAAAGACTTTGAATATGTTTTCTTTCACTTTGTACAACTGTGTTATGTAATATTGTACTTGTTTGGGAAAATCCCAAGCCACTTTTTGATCTCCCATAACACAAGCACATAGCATAATTCTTTGGCTGTTTTGCAGGTTCTTTCCCTGTTTGGGTGGGGTGTTTTTTTTGTTTTGTTTTTTCATTACTGGGTTTGAGTTGGGGTAGCTGATTGTTTTTCAAAATTGTTTGCGCCAAACCAATGGTTTCGTTTTTGTTTCACATTATCGACTGCTTGCTGGATTCCCACTGCTTAACACTCTGGCATCGTATTTAACTCTTTCATTTCTGCTTCTTGTGCCTTCCTCAGATTTACCCACTTGGCAAACTCCTACTCATCCTTCAAAATATAGGTCAGGTTTCCTTGAGGAGGGAACAGACTGTGCCTAACTTAATTCTATATGCAGCAATTAGCACAGGAATAAATGAACATGCGTGTGAGTAAAAGGATCTATCTAGCCCGAGGATGGCACGTGGGTTTTGTATTAATTCAGAGAGCATTTGATTGCAAACATCAGACACATTCAATGAGGGATGGGTTAATATTTTCCTCACAATTTAAGAAGTTTGAAAACTTCAGATGAGGCACTGGTCAAGGGCCTCAATGAAGCCCTCGGGAGACTTACTCTGAAGTTCACCAATGCATATAAGATAAGAAGGGAAGAAGGAGAATGGGACCAGCTATGCACTAGTCTTCTGCGTTATGTCCCATTAGCCACCCCTAGCTGCCGGGGAAATGGACTTTCTCATCTGGAGCTTGGATGGGTTCCTGGCTCTGTTAGCAAAGAAGAATCAGGGGATGGATATTAGCCAGGCAACCAAAGGCACCCGCCACACATTACACCTCCTATTCCACGGTTACTAGACTCAAGGTGAGGCTCAGGGTTCAATATGGGAAAGACGTGTCCAAGCCTTGGATTGGTTGTGAGTGTCTGCTGTGGATGTGGAGACGGCATGCTCTGTGTATATTTGCCATTTTGATCTAGGCTAGAGGTGTCGAACTCAATCAGAGAAGGGGCCAAAATCTAAAATCCAGCCTAAATCGCGGGCCGAATGGTTTACTGAACAGTCATAAACTGTCATTGTGATGGAAATGCAGCGGAGTGCAGTGATGACAGCGCGGTGCGGGCCACATTGCAAGGCCTGGCGGGATGGATTTGGCCCGCGGGCCTTGTGTTTGACACATGTGGTCTAGGCCATAGATTGATTGATCTGTGTGCTGGACCATCCGTTTTCCCCTCTGCCCTTACCCCCCTGCTCAGTGTGCTGGGAGGCAGTTCTGACAGGTTGGATCACCAGGTCCCCTTGCCCTGACTTCTGGTTGGGTTTGGCCATTGAGAGGTGGTGGCAAGAGGGCAGAGGAAGGGAGGGGAGCAGTGTCAGGATATTTATTCGCTCACCCCCTCCCTACTGGTCACCATGGTTTTTAGGAGGTCACATCTCTTCATGTGGCCCATTCTGGACATCTCTTACAGGTTCCAGTAACTGCCCCATTCTTTACCCTTCGCCTTGTTGATTTCCCTGAACTCTGTCCACTCCTCTGTAGCGAGCTCTTTTAATGCACTGCCCCCAAATTACCCGGCTTCAGAGTCCTGTCTCTTTCCTGCACGGATCCAGACTGAGGTGCTTGTTCTGGGGGAAGGTGTTGGAATCACGGATGGACACCTTTTTCTCCCTCTTCCTCAAAGTCAAGGCCAACGTGCCCCCTACACTTAGCAGGATACCTGACTTGCAACATGTCCTAGGATGTAATCAGATGTCTTTCTTAGTCACTTTTATTGATCAACACCCCCCACCTCTCCCAGAGCAAGGACAGAGCCTCTGCGGTGGCTCCTGAGCACATCTAGCTGGGAGGCCCTTTGGACTGGAGCTTTCAGAAATCGGCAGGAGGGAACTGACCTCCATCCTGGTTCTCTCCACATGGTACAGTGGCAGGCCAGAGAGAGCTGTCATTTCTAGAACTGCTGATTGGAAGTGACTGTGCACCAGGTGGCTTGGAAGGACAAGTGCAGCCACAACTGGTGCACCATGTGTTCTCAATCGCATTCCTGCCTCTGCCTTCCTGCTCCCAGGGCGTTGGAGTCTACACTCTGAAAACAGGCACAGTGGTGTATTATTAGATCCCCACCCCCTTCCCTCCTTCTCCCCACCCCGGCCCCCCCCAGTGTGCTGGAGGAGGGGGCGGGGTAGGCTGTTCGATGCCTTCAGAGCAGGGTTGCTGAAACTTGAATGAACTTGTGAATCACTGGGGGATGGTGTCAGATTGCAGGCTTTGACTCAACAGGTCGGCATGGGGGCGGAGATTCTGCGCTTATAACCAGCTCCCCGGTGCTGCTGGAGCTGCTGATTCAGGGAACACACACTGAGAAGAAAGGACTTAGAGATGGGCCTCCAGCTGGTAGCCACTAGCCACACATGGCTATTTCCATTTATTGTCTGTCCATTCGTTTTTAATAATTGCACCAACCGTTCAGAACTGAGTCTCTAGTGAAAGAAACCCAAATCAAGAGGTTTACAGCTAAAGTGAAAACAGAAATAGTAGGTGTTTGTGAAACGGAAAAGATAGGGAGGACATGATTAGGGACTCAAATGAAGTTGCCATTGTTGTTATCACCACTACAACACCATCATCATTAATCACCTCTTTATATTTTATTGCCCCTTTTCTTTTTATTTAAAAATTTTTATATGTTTTTATTGATTGCAGAGAGGAAGGAAGAGGGAGAAAGAGATAGAAACATCAATGATGAGAATCATTGATCAGCTGCCTCCTGCATGCCCCCTACTGAGGATCAAGCCCACAACCCAGGCATGTGCCCTGAATCGAACTGTGACCTCCTGATTCATGAATTGACACTCAACCCCTCAGCTCCTTTGCCTTCATTCTTGAAATCATTGTCCTCCTTCTTTCTACCTACAGACTCTGTCCAGCAGAGGCTTGGCAGGTGGCTCTGGGCTAATATTATCCTCTCGTCATCTAAATGGAATAGGGAGCTCTTTCCTCCAGCCTCAGACTGCTCCTGCATCGCACTGTGCCCAGATCTGTGAACAGGGAGCTGGCGTGCCAGGGCTCGCCCTGTGGGAGGGGGTAGGACAGTCACAGGCAGCCCCCAGGATCAGCTGAGTGGAGGGGGAGACACATGTCTCCCCTAAAGGAAGGGATGCTAGTGCAAAGAGGAACAGGACAGACAAACCAGCATGTTCACTCCATCTCACTGCTGTCTTCCACTTCATTAAGAATTCCATTCAGCTAGCCCCCCTGTAAGAACCTTCCCTGGTTCCTGCCACCCTTTAGTCATTCCCCACAGAGAAAAGGTAACTTGGGTTGTTTCAAGAGCACAACCGTCCTCTTTGTGTATTTTCACTGCAGCCAATGATCAAGCCTTCTCTTTGGTACAGATATTAAAATCAAAAGACGAACATCTGGGCAAGGTTTTCCCTTTGCTTTCTTCAGGCATTTGATAACTACGCACACTGTCTTACTTGAAGGATTTATTCAGATAGCTTGAGAGTAGCAAGCAGACTACAAGGGTGTAAAAAGCAGCTGGGGGAGCAGCTACCTGCCAAGGAAGAAGCTGGAGGCGGCTTTGGGCTGGAAGGGCAAGGCACCATTGGGGACTGGGTCTGTGAAAGTTCCAGTACTGAGAGCACAGACAGGAGAGGCAGTGTAGGCAGGGACCAGGAAATGAGGTCGCTACAGCCATGTTTTACTTGTCTTTTTTTTTTTTTTTTTAAAGTATATTTTAATTGATTTCAGAGAGCAAAGGAGAGGGAGAGATAGAAACATCAACGATGAGAATCACTGATTGGCTGCCTCCTGCACTCCCCCTACTGGGGACTGAGCCCGAAACCCAAGCATATGCCCTTGACCAGAATCAAACCTTGGACCTTTCAATCTGCAGGCTGTCGCTCTACCCACTGAGCAAATATGACCTTTTTTTTTTATTTTTTTTTATTTTTTTTAAGAGAGCAATTGAGTGAAGGAGGAGACACAGGTCTCCCCTAAAGGAAGAGATGCTAGTGCAAAGAGGAACAGGGCAGACAAACCAGCATGTTCACTCGTTTCACTGCTGTCTTCCACTTCATTAAGAATCCGTTTTGTGTGTGTGTGTGTGTGTGTGTGTGTGTGTGTGTGTGTATGAATAGGAGGAGTTTGGAGGTCAATGGATGGTAAGGTCAATCGATTGCAATGTCATCTCTCAACTTCTTCCAGTGTGCCCTCCTTTCACAAAAAACCCTTTCCATGCCCAGTGGGGGTGTCTGCCGCGGCATGGGAGCCAGACAGAAATGAAAGGACCAAGGAGCAGAGGAAAAGGTTATAAAAACGTTTAGTCTTTTGCTTTATTGAGTTACAACAAAGGAGCAACAAGTTAGAAAAGTTGTGTTCTTTTTTCCCCAAACTCCCTAGCATTTTATTTGTGCAATGTACTCAAATTGGGGGGGGGGGGGCACGGCGGGGAGGGTGCACACACAATTCATATTGCAACATGTACACCAGATATGTCTCTTGGTTTTTCTTCTTTAAAAGTTAGCACTAACTGGGAGGAAAAAGTGCACTCAGGAGTCTAACATTGGCCCAACACAAATACAAACAAACAAACAAAAAACCAACTTATGGGAAGGCTTCAAGCTGAAATCGTGTCCAATATCACACTGAGAAAAGGCAGTCGGGGACAGAAACGAAAACCAGTGCGGTTCATCTTTGTTCCATCTAGACAGGAAGATCTCTGACTGCTGCCGTTTTACAAAAGCAATGACAATGATAGCCCTTTCTGCAGGGATCTAAAAAGGTGCTTTAAAAGGACAGCCACCTGTTCCCCAGACTGCCGGGCAATGGTCGGGCCCCAGGTCTGACTCAGAGGCCAGGCCATTGAGAAACCAGACCCGCAGGAGGCGGCTGGGAACGCCTTGTGCCTTTGTGCATGGCTCCACAGGGATCTCAGAGGCTGCTGGAGGGGACGTGGAAACAGATTCGATTGGGAAGATCTGCCCTCTGCAAATGCTCTCCACGTTGAGTCCGACGCCTCCCCGAGAAAAATCTCCCAAATTTCAATCTACCTTTAAAAATGAACTCTCCCTACCTAAAATCCAGTAGATATAATGGCACTAATGCTAATATTACCCCTTCCCCCAAATGAATAAAATAAAATAAAAAGAAAAGGAAGGAAGAAGAAAAAAAAAAACAACGCATGTGACCAGCCCCCGCCTCCTGGGAAAAACCTTGCGATGGATGGTAGTGCTGGAGATGGAAATTGCCCGCGATTAAAAAGGTAGCAAAATCCCCAGTTGTACAAATTGGTTCCAGTGGAGCAAGAGGTGGGGGACAGGGCAGAGGGGACGACTATTTACAAGGACCCATTGGAAACGCAGTAGTAGGACTTTGGCACGGTGAACGATTCCCGCCGGTCCTCCGGGAGGCGCCTGCGGGGGGACAGGCCCGCTAACCAGGTCCGGCTGGAGTCTGGCCAGGCGGGCCTCGCAGGCCTGGGAGGGACGTTCTCTTCTTTCTTCACAGACAGAGTCATTCGGACCGACGTCCCTAAAAGAGGACACAAAACCAGAGACAAGATGTCAGAGAGATGGTGGATGGTGGCAGGGGCTGGGGACGACCCTTCCAAAGCCATTGGAGGGGAGGGAGGGTGGGGAGACAACAGGGACAGGAGGAGAGATGAACGCCCTTCACGTCTGCGGCCGGTTTTAACCTGAGCACACTCTGACCAGGTTGGGAGGCAGCCTCAGAACCAGGGTGGCTTCCTGGGGGGATCACAGGGGTGACCTGTGTGATCCCTTCATCACTACGAGCCCCTTGATGATTTCCTGGACAGGCAGCCAGTTGCAGTGTCCTCCCACAGGTTCAGGAATCAGACAAATGGAGATTCTGGTTCTGACCTTGCCCACCTGCTGGCCCTGAGGCAGGCAGTGCACACGTGACCTGTTCGGCCAAGGCCTGTTTTTGTGTCTGTAAGAGTGGCATCCATCTCTCTGAGTGGACAGCTACTGCTCTTCCTTCCCTCAGCCAGAAAGCTGATCCAGGATCTTCCCACCTCCTAGCTGCGTGCTGAGGTCTATTAAGCTCCCCAAACTCGAGGCATTTCATAATTCATACCCCAAGGGCTTCTGAGAGGGACACAGAGGAGCCGTACAAAACAGGCAGGTGCTCCAGAGATATTGCTTCATTTTGTCCTTGAGGAAGGCCAACTGTAAAATTAGGGCCTTGGGTGTAAGCAAACTCGTGTGTGTGTGTGTGTGTGTGTGTGTGTGTACGTGCATATGTGAGAGTGCACACATTTCCCTCCTGTCTCATACACGAAACCGAACCCCGTCTCTTCAAGTGATTGGCAGAAAACTGCCACTTTTTAGATAAACCTCAAAACTAAGGTGGTTCTCTATATGCAATGAGGTTTTTCTCCTTCCCTGTGTCATGTCTTATGGACATGAGCATGCAGAATTCTCCAAGCAGATGCATTCGTAAAGAAAAAATGCTGAACAAGGCCCTTAAAAAAAATACGGAACAACATCTTGCAAGTCCAAAAGGATGACTCGGAGAAAGGGGGGTGGGGGGGAGAAGCCACCCAGATGTCTGTGGGAACCGCTGCACTTCCCAGCTCCTTTGGCTTTGGCAGGGTGTGTAGCCGTGGGCGGGACTGGGCTGTGAGGCGGGCAGCTCTGGCACAGTGAGTCTGGGAAGTCGCTCGCTCGGGGCAGAGGAAGAGGAAGCAGAGGCAGGGCTGGTTTCTCCATCTGGGCCCAATCGCCTTACCCCCCAGCAAATCCCAGCTTGCAGGCCACTTCCCCGAAAGGCCTTGCCCCAGGCGCCATCAGTTCTCTTTGTCGAGTGTCCCTGTGCTACTTGCACAGCTCAGATTGCCTGGCTAGTTGTACATCTTCTGAGGCCGTGACAGCATGGACGGCGCCCACCGTGTTCACTGCTGACCCCTGTCCCTCCCTCCCGGCACTCTGTCTGGCCCGCGCAGGATAAGTTCACATTTCAGGTTTAGTTTTGAAGAGTATCACAGCGATTTTGGCCATGTGGCCTCTTGCTAATACTTTTTTTTTTTTTTTCAACCTCCTGGGTTTCTACACAGAATCTTACCCTTTGGTCAGAGGCATCCCCAACAGCAGAGGCCAGTGATCGGACGGCCTAGAGCAGCAGGTCTCAGCTTTGGGAGGAGAAGGCAAGGTCATCCTGCCTGTTTCCTCCCGACCGCTATTCAAACATTTCCGCCACATGGATGTCCAGCCTCTCCCTGAACTCCGCTCAGGACAGGGACCCCACTGCCTCCCACAGCCACCCCTTTCTATTCCCAGGGACAGCTTGGGAATGTTAAAAAAGTACTGCCTCTAATTCTTTAGCAAAATCTGCTTCTCTATTAGTTTTACCCGTTGGGGAAACACAAAACAATTGGAATTCTTTCCCCACAGGGTGCCTTTCCGCTTCTGTTTCTCTTTCATTTTCCCTGTAGGGACTTCCCCTTCGGACTCAGGAGAGAAAAGCACTGTATTCCATGAGAAAGGAAGACAAGCGCTGGGATAGTGGTTTATTCTCTCTCAGTCATATTTCGGAGTCAAGTTGCCTTTGATAAGAGGGGGCATGGCCTGATTTTAATTAGAATTGCGATAAGGAAAATACAGTGGCATGGGGAGGGAGTAAGCAGTTTCCCAGTGGCGAGGGAAAAGTCCGTACCACTCACAGCCTTCCCCACACCAGGCCTTGGTCCTCTGGCACATCTGGCAGAAGCTCTTTCCCCGCAGCAGTTCGGGGAACTCTGGGGTTGGGAAAATTGCTGAGACTTATGGATCAGGAAAGTCCCTCCCCTCCCCCCACCACTGCTCTCAGGGAGGCTCAAGACAGAAGGAATCTGAGGGGTCCCTGGCCCTTCCTGCCCTTTTCCCTTCCCTGAATATTACCCAGGTGGTTCAACAGAATTTGAGCAAATGGGATCATATGTGAAACTCACTAGGCAGACCCCAGATGCGGTTACAAGTGTGGGCTGGCACACAGTAGGTGTTCAGGATGTGGTTATGAATGTCGGCTGGCACACAGTAGGTGTTCAGGATGCGTTTGCCAAATTGAACTGGACCCTATTGTCTAAAGTAGGGGTGTCGAACTCAATCAGAGAAGGGGCCAAAATCTAAAATCCAGCCTAAATCGCGGGCCGAATGGTTTACTGAACAGTCATAAACTGTCATTGTGATGGAAACGCAGCGGAGTGCAGTGATGACAGCGCGGTGCGGGCCACATTGCAAGGCCTGGCGGGACGGATTTGGCCCGAGGGCCTTGTGTTTGACACATGCGGTAAAGCAATCATGTAGACTTGTATCATGTATCAGAAAAGGTCAAGGTCAGAAGACAAGGAAAACAAGGAGGTTTCAGGCAGATTCTGATTGGACAAAAACTATCGCTCTTCCACTCTAACAAAAAAGAGAGAGGGGCCGGACTGGTAGGGTTTTGCAAGAAAGTGGCCAGAGGGAGGACAAAACCGAGGCAGCCAGACGGAGTTGGCGCTATTTGTGACCTCAGCAGCTTTAAGCCCTCTTCCTGTCTGCCCCCTCCGTCTGAACTGCTTCCTGATCCACAGCCCGTTACTACTTCCTCCTTCCTCGGAGGAAGACTTGATGGATTCTGTGACTGGCTGCTCATTAAATTGCTCTTTTCATAGCCGGTGGAACTAGGTTCTAATGACTACTTTTTTTTTTTTTTTTTGCCAGGTGCCTCATTTTATTACTGGATAAATGAACGAATGAGTGGCATGGCCAGCCAAAGTTGTCCAAATTCATTAATAAAGAGGCATGGTCATTTCCAGGGCTCCCTTCGGGACTTTTTCAATCATTCTGGAAGTCCTTACCTTTATTTTATTATTTTTAACGATGACATGGGGAAGGGGAGGGCTTTTGTGCTTTGGCAAAGGTGGATCTTTCCCTCCCGTATCCTTCTCCCTACAACCCCCACGCCCACCACCAAGCAAGCTGCTGTGCTTTAGGCCTTGATTTGCACAGACCTCTTGTGAAGCACAAACACCAAAGGGCTTGGGTGGCATGTCCTGTTACGTGGATGACATGGCCATTAGTAACCATGGTAACCTCCCTTCCCAGGCCTCTGTGGCTCCACGGGCCTAATTTACACCAGTCTCTTCCAGATTGAAGGGGTTTGGGGCACCCAATCAACAGAGCAAGGAGCAGGGTTACTTAATGAGATACACAGTCCACCTTCCATTCACCGTGACAAGGCGAATGCCCAAACCTTTCAGGCTAACAGAAACGACCCCAAATCTATAGCCAGTAAACTTAGATACTTACCCTTTAAAAATCCAAAGAGAAAAGGAAAGGAAAAAAGGAAAGGACATTTCTTTTCTTGTTTGTTTTTGTTCTTATAGCAGCGATCACAAAACAAGCGGTTACAACTGCAACTAGACTTTAGAACGGACCAGGCTCAAAGGGTGGTGTCCAGACAGGCCTCAGGCCACAGTGCTGTCACCCATTGGCACAGCCTTTTAAATGAGAACATGAAATCTACTAGGCCCTACTTTCCTTCCTTTAAAACAAAAACAAAAACAAAAAAAACCATCATCTTTGTACTCTACGAACTCCATTAACTCTGGCAACCAAGAGAAACCCAGCATCCTCCCGTCCTTGCCCGGGTGAAGCAGGTGGCATTACCTGTCTAAGCCTGGCCAGCCTCGGCAGGGACGCTGTCGGAGTCCGAGTCGGCCAGCTCTGCGGTGCCCTCCGGGGCAGCCTGGCTCCAGCTGTCTGACCGGTCCGAGGTGGCATCCTCCTCTCCGACCGTCACCTCCACCCAATCCACCACGCCCGACTCCCCGTGTTCGTCTCTCCCCTGGCCGTCTCGGCTGTTGCCCTCTGACCTGTCCACGGTGGCCTCCGAGGGCTTTGCCGGCAAACCATCTTTTGCTGGCTCGCTGCCCACTTTCGCCCTGGGCACCAGCTTCTCCAAGACCTCTTCGCAGAGCTTCTTGGGGTCCTTGTGGCATTGCGGGCCCACCTCGCCCCCGTTCTTTGGGCTCTCGGGGACGGCGGCCTTGACGGCTCTCCTGGCCAGGGCGTCGTGGCCGTGGTCCTCCGCTGTGTGCTGCGGCTGGTACTGCTCCATCCACTTTAAGGTCCCCGTTTTGAGCAAGCACCTGTTCTCCTTGAACCAGCGCACGATTTCAGTTCGAACCAGGCCGGTCTTCGCTGCCAGCTGGTCGTACTCCTGGGGTGTAGGCCACTGGGTTCTTGCAAACGTGCTCCTCAGGAGATGGACTTGCTCTTGACTCTTTGTAATTGCTGGTGAAGGGCTGGGCAGAGAACTGACCAGCTGAGCACCGGTGAGCTGGTCGAGTCGAGACAGAGCACCATTGGGGCCCACCCCATCCTGGCCTTTTTTGCCAGACCCCATGGAATCCAAGACCGCTTGCTCCATGCTGTCCCGGAGCTTCCTCCGCTCTGAGAACCACGAGTCGATCTCCCTCCTGCTCAGCTTGGTCTCCACCCTCAGCCGATCCAGTTCCGCCTGGGTGGGAAAAGAGCTTTTCACAAAGCTGTCTTCCAGGAGTTTAAGCTGACCCGGGGTCTTCTCTTTGAACTTCTGGGGGGCAAAGTCGGGGTAGGCGTGGTACGTGCGACCGTGTGGGGTGGCCGACACGGGCGGCTGGTCTTTGGCAAGGGATTCGCTGGTGATGTGGACGATGCCCCTTTGACACCGGTAGCGGTGGTCGCTGAACCACTTCTTGATCTCGCTCCTGGCAAGGCCGGTCATCTCGATGAGTCGGTAGATCTCAGCATCGTCTGGGAACTGGTTCCGGAGAAAGCTCGCCTTGAGGTGGGTTATCTGCTCCTTCGTCTTCTTGCGGTCGCTGGCCGCGGCCAGGGACAGGTTCGCCAGCTTGGGCGGGGGCTCTGGCACCTGAGCCACCTGAGCCACCTGAGCGACATGTGGACGCTTGGGCTCAGGGGCAGCCTGCGGGGTCACCAAAGGTCTCTTCTGGCTGTGGCTGGTCACTCCGGCCACCGCAAGTGTGATGGGGGAGCAAGAGACGGTGGTGGACCCGCTGGTCACCTGAGTCAGCACCAGGCTGGTCTGGCCAAGGATCTGGCACGGCAAAGCCGTCTGGAGGATGGGCTGAGACATCTTGGAGGGGGCCAGCTGGGTGGGCAGCACAGTGATTGTCGGGGGGACCGTCTGGATGGTGCCGTTAAACATCTTCTTCCGGGCCTCCTCCACCTCCTCCGGGGACCAGCTGATGCCGTGCTTTAGGCGCTGGGTGGCGAACCAGATTCGGATGTGCTCCTCGGGGTGTTTGGACGCAGCTGTGAGCCAGGACAACTCGGCCTGGGTCGGGTAAGGGAACTTGTTGAAGGAGCTGATCATGGTGGCGTTGGTGTCCAGGGCAGAGTTGTATTTGGTAGTGTTCAGCGGGACGGGGACCTTGGGGACAAGGTTGATATTTGGTGGGAGCTGGACAGAAGGCGTGACGTGCCCCAACTCCTGGAGCAGCTCCACGCTCCCGAGTCTCGAGAGGATCTCGGCGGCGTCTGTCACCAGGCGGGCAGTCCCTTCCATGTGGTTCTCGGGGGTGGCCTCCTCCGGCTTTTTGGGCGCCTTCTTGGCATCAGCTTTCGGTTTCCCTGGCTTCATGATGGGGGTTTTACTCACCGGGATCCCAGGGTCATGGTCACCGCTCCCGGGGCCGCCGGTGGCGACGGACACCACGTGGTTGGTGGCCTCGATGGACTGCTCCAGGACAGTCTGGTTGTTGCGCTTGATCAACTTCAGCTTGAAGTTGGCCTCCCCGGGATGGAACTTGGCGTTGTGGTCAGACAAGGAGTCGTACTTTTTGGTTGTGAAGTTGCATTCGGCGCACACGTAGAGGGGGTTGAGAATCACGTTGGGGTGCTGCATGTCCACGTGCTCCGTGAACTCGTTCAGGTTTTGCGTGGAGTAGGGGCAGTACTTGCACTCGTACCCGCCCTGGAGCTTCTTGGACGGGTTCTCCCCCGTCGATTTCACCTCTATCACTTCGTTTTCTTTGGATGAGTTGTCAGGATCCGCTGTCCAACTGCCCTTGGCTGTTTCAGGCTGTGGCGTGACGGTTGCTTTTTCTTTGGCCCTGTCTCTTTCTTCGGGCACATCTTGTTCTAGAACTTGGGATGTCCGAACCATACACGGGGTTGTAGATTTTCGTTTGCTCGCCATGCTGCCTGAGTGCGATGCTTATTTTGGGGCAGGGGTGGGCAGGGGGCACGTAGGGAGGGGGCAGTAAAACTTTTGGAACAAACTTATTTGTTTGTTCAAAGAAAGGCTCTTGGCTTTATCCCCCCTCTGATGACTTTGGCTTCTCGTCAATGCTGAAGTCTAGTGTTTGAGTTTCCAGAATGATCTCAGCACAGAAAATTGTAACTGCTCCAATGGTTAAACACAAGAGGCAGCATCATATCTGTGGGACAAGAACAGAGATAGGGTCAGTGTTTCTCTACAAGGCAAAAGAAACGAGCATTGCTTTCGGAGCTGCACCCATGACCGTCCCAGCTGGCACCCAGAGCCAACACCCAGGTCAGTGTGAGAGTGGGCGCACGCCACAGTGCAAGATCACATGCTTCTTTTCTTCCTTCCCTTGCAAGGGAAGTGGGAACTGGTCCAAAACAAGCAAATGAGGATGCAGCTCGCTCTGTCATGGTTAGAGACAAACAGATACAGAAAAGCAGCAAAGGTACTGAGGTCGGGAATGGTGGGTAGGAGGTGGATGGAAAGCTGCAGGTGACATGTGACCAGGCTCTCAAGTCACTTTCATTGTTGGTATGTTAGAAGCAAGACGCTTCCTTCTTTTTCAGAGCAGCAGAGGGATGTTTTAAGACAGGAATCAGTTCATGTCGCCTTCCTCCATGAAGCACTCTCCCAGTTTCCCATCAGAGTGAACTTCACACCCTTATGACAGCCGACAAACCCTGGCACATTTTCGTTCATGCTTCCCTCTCCCCCTTGCTCATCACACTCCTGCTGCTGGAACAGGCTGTGACGAGTCAGAAGATGATGCAGAAATGGGGGAGGAGTGTACAGACTAATGATGGTGGAAGAGAATAGAACAGAGAATGCTGGTGCTGAATAACACGAGATACCTTTAGAAACAATGGAGACCATAGCAGTGCGATTGGGGGAGAGCTTTAAGAAGCTATTTCCTGTCCTAGCGGGTATTGCTCAGTTGGTTGGGCATCGGCTGGTGAACCAAAAGGTCACTGGTTTGATTCCTGTCAGGGCACATCCATCCCCAGTAGGGGGTGTGCAGGAGGCAGTATATATATATATATATATATATATATATATATATAATTTCTCTCTCCCTCTAAAATCACTTAAAAAAAAAAGGTATTTCCTGTTCCCTGTGTCTGTGCTTAGCTTTTATTGTTCAGTTGCTCAGACAGACTTTTCTTTTAAAGAAGGGGCTTGCTGAGCTGGATAAGTGTAGGCAGGAAAAAGCAGTAGCAAGATGCTATTTACATGCACAATCTTTACTATTCTCACAAGACCAACCGATGGCTATGAGCTCCATTTCACAGGCAAAGAAACTGAGGCTCAGAGAGATGAAATGGGCTGCTGAGGAAGATGAAGCCCAGATTCTCCTGCCTCTATCCCCACTGCTTGGTCCCTGCAACGATTCAATTTCCCAACACTGAGTCTATAAAATTAGATTTCTCACAAATTCCGAGTGGCTTTCCCCCTCTGGGAGTATTCAAAGGAGAAAGATTTTAATTGAATTATATTATATTTTTCAAATTGCTACTCTTGAGACACTCTTTTATTAGGTAGAAGAAAGCTTGCATGGTCTCCTCCAAGGGAAAAAAAAATCAGTGGATGAAATGCTGTTTGTGGCTGTTCCATGTGGCCCACTACATCAATGTCACTGTGCATTTAGGTGACACAGGACTCTGAGAGGAGGCTGGTGTCTTAGGAGTGGGAACCTGAGACCCCACTCAGCTATTGCTCAGGGTCAGAGAAAGCCAGCTATGCCTGAGAAGGCAGACCCTTCTGGGCTCATGTGAACCTGGAGCCCAGAATTTTAATCATTTACTCTGGGACAATGAACTCCAAAGCTCAGATGCTTCCAGCCCTTCAGTAGGCGAGGATGTGGCCTCCAGCCGCCTTGCTGCTGCTCAGCACTCACCATTAGGCCCAAGTGCTCGGTGGAAGGGGCACAGGCTGGAGCCAGTCCTCCCTGGTTTGAACGCTGGCTCTGCCACTTACTAACAGAGGAGCTCTTCCTTCTCCGGCCACAGCCAGGATGCCTGCCTCATAGGCCCCAAACACGCACCCGAAGGATACCAAATGCAGCCCTCCCATTCCCCATGGCCAGCCTCAGTTCCTGCAGCTGGAAAATGGGGTGAACCCACGCCTGCAGGATTTGACTCTGAGCACCTTTAACGCTGGCACATTCTGGTTCCCTAAAAGGGTGACCTGAATAAGTGAGCTAGCATTAATGATGACAGACTTGGCAAAGCGAGGTTCTGCACCTTCTTCCTCTTCAATCTACCTTCTGATCATCCCTACCTTTCCCCCCACTGCCAACCATGGATAAGCTGCTGCACATTGACACCAGCTCATGTCACCTCAGTCATGCTGCTCCAAAGTCTGTTTGTTCATCTTCTGTACATGCCCATAGAAATTTCTATGGCAACTGCGCCAATATTTTTAGTTTTCCCAATATTGCCTCTCTGTCTTAGTAAAAGATTCTGCATTGAATCTTTCTGAGAAGATCAAGGCCCCCTGATTAAGCTCACAAGACAGCAGTCACCTTCTTCCCCATCTCCACACCCAGGTCTTTTCTCCCCACCTCAGTGGAGGTAGCTGGTCTCCCCACCTTAAGGCTAATAACCCCGCTACATGGCCTGCAGCCCAGCACTCACCAACTCTCATCTCCTTTCACCCAATATCCTGGGTGTTTGTGGGTGACAAACACTCCAGGTTGCCTAAAAGAGTAAACAAAGCAAAACAAAAGTGAAAAGCAACAGCGAATTTTCCAAAGCTGCTCAATTCCACCATCATCTGCACTTTATTATACCAACTTGTGCCTCCTATGGCAGAGAGGAAGCACTCAGGCTCCCGAGTGAAAGAGGGTCACCTCTAGGCCTGGTCCCACCACTCGGCAGTGTGTGAGCCTGGGCAAGTTGCTTCCATTTTCTGCGACCCCAGCTTTTCCATCGCAATATGGGAACAGCAGTGGCACCCTGCCAAAGGGCTGCTGAGAGTGCCCAGGGAGCTATTCGAGCACAACGTTCGGCTCTGGGCCCTGTTCACAATGTGCTAGCTCCCAGCACCGGGTACCTGTTTGTTAAAATGACGTAACCATCACACCTCTCATGGGAAGTTTGAGAAGCCGCCTGTTCATCTCTGCACTGCACTGCTTATCCCTCGCCTCCCTGCATTCTGTCCTCCTGCTCTGTGGACGCCTTTTGAGGTTACTGTCAAATGGATGCCACGTCACTGCCTCTGAGGGGCAAACAGTCTTCGTGATGTCCCCTGCCCCTGGCGTCCCTGGACTGTGTTCCATGTTCTCCTCCTGACAGCCCCTTCTTTGTCACCTCTCCCATTTTCTGTTCCCATAGATGCCTCTCCATGCCCTTGGCGATTCCTTATCCCTCTAGCTCATCCTTGCAGACTGATGTTCACTAGGTTGGGTCCTCCTCAGGGTTTCCCTCAGCAGCTACATCTTGGCCTGGCCTCTGGGCTTCACCTGTTTGCGACAGGCATTGCCTGTACAGCATCCTTTCTTTCCTCCTTGGCAACGACGGCCCAGTTCTTTCTAGAGAAAGACCCCAACCCATTCCTGGCCTCTGTGCCTCAGCCAGCAGTGGGCACGTGACTTGGTCCTGGCCACTTGGAACATCATGTCCCCCACAATAGTGAGTGGTTAAGAGATGGGCTCATGGAGCATCAGAGCCAGTGTGGCTCCATTCCAGAGCTCTCATTGGAACCCTTGGGACAAAAAATGTATTCCTTTTCCGGGGGTTTTCCTGAAGGGATTGGATGTAAGTGCAGGAGCCCAAGCAGCCATCCTTCCACTGATGGGGAACTCATCTGAGAACTGAGCTGAAAGCTGAGTGGAAAGATTCAAAGAATGAGTCCTGACAATATCCCACTGAATGCTGCTCTGCCGAATCCAACACGCTCTCTGACTTCTCCATTAGGTCAGTTTGCTTAAGTCAGTTTGATAGGCTCTTTTTTATCTGTCACCTGTAACTGCAAATGTCCTGCCAGGCAGAGTTTCAGGCCAACCTCCTCACTGCCACCATTTCTTCCTAAAACAGCAATGCTCAGCCTTTTCCCACCACGATAGACAAGCTAGGCGACCCACCCATTTGCAACATTCCCTCATTCTTGTGTTGGCTATTATTCCACGCTATTTCTTCTCCTTTGAGAAAGAATCTCAGGACATTTGTGAGAGTGACACTTTTATAGGAATAACCTTGAGTCCTTGCTAATCAAGAAAAGTGAGTCATTCACAAATTTCAATGCCTTATTTTTAGAAACAACTGATGCCATGATGGAGCATCATGTTTCCAAACACGAATCCGACCACATCATCCTCGTCTTCCAAACCTCCCTGGGAGGACTGGAACTGGCCAAGACGGGTGCTTCTTGTTACCCATGCCCATCCTCAAAAACATTCTGGGTATTTAAAAAGGGAAATACAGTAGAAGACCTACTTTGTAGAAATAGAAACATGGACCTTGGCAAAGAGAACACAGCTCAGACATCCGTTTGTTCATTCACTCACTCACTCACTCACTCACTCACTCACTGTTGAGTACCTGCTATATCTCCGTCACTGCGTTAGATAATCAGGAAATAAGACATAACATTCCTGCTCTCAATGAGCCTATGATCTAGGAGGGGAAGACAGAAAATAAATAAAAAACAAAGAACTTATAGGTAGTGTGTAAGTGCTCTAAAGAGTTTTTAAAAATGTGATGGTGACTGAAGAGCTTCTTTCTATGAGATACTCAAGGAAAGCCTCTTTAAGGAGTTGATCCACCAATCAAGAGAGCGGCCTGGGCAGGATAATGAGTGTCTGTGAGAATAGAGAAGACGCACTGACTACCCCTGACACTCTATGCTTACTGCAAAATAATCTCCAAATGATTCATTATCCTCTAACAATTCTATTCTCCCCAAAGACACTTTTTGAAAAGCCTTAAAAAGCTTCATTGAAAAGTACAACTATTCATTTGTCAACATGAAATCAAAAGTCTTCCATGGTTTTATAATGGAAAAAAATGTCTTCCTTTTCCTACCTAGGACAATTCAGATGGACATGAGATAGGTTGAGAGCTCTAAACAGCTCCAAAAAAAAGAGGGAAGCGGGCAAGTTATCTGCATTTAGGTCTAATGTTAGAAGACATTGTAATCTCAAGCAATAGTTGTTGCCAAAACTGGTTTGACTCA